CAGTGACACATCTGGTTCTTTGTATATCCGAACTCGTCTTTATATATCCGAAAACTTGTCTGCCTGCACCTCATCCTCTGGTTCTGCTCTTCCCCAAAACGTGCAGCGTCGTATGTGCCGGCTTAAAGCCTCATTCACGATCACCGTCCTAGAAACCTGAACCGATCAAAACAGCTTTTTCATAGGGAGCCCTCTCGAGAATGCTGGATTATCCTTTCCCGGGATACCCCGTAGGCATCGTTCTATAGTCGGTTCCCTTGCGTTTAACCATCGGCAAAATTCGGGAACCGACTGACCTGAATTCTTGCCGCTCGAACGCCGCGACGGCTCGTTCTTGTATTATACAATATTTACACGAGCCGATACAAATGGCGAGGCTTCACCATGCTGGCGAATCAAATTCGTCTCTCTGACATTACGTACAATATGCTTGAGTGTGATATACGGACATCTACTACGGGTCTTGTTATTTATCGTTAGATATTTATCGGAAGGAAAGAGTCGCACTTGATTGAAATACGCGCTATCGAGATTCAATCGATTTATTCATTCCAATTGTTTGTCTGCGCTCACGATTGAAAAATCTCTACGAGTTAAATAGATTCGTGAAACGCGCATGGAAAAAAATCGATTAGGTGATTTAGCGAAACTACTAAGCTAACGAGAGTCCATTTATAAGAAAATTTGATGATTCAACAAAGAAATTATGTAAATAATTATCAGTATACTAATTCAGCTGATTTTGTGCTAGAATGAAATTGCTAATGTAAATTTTCTTCATTATATAGCACCAACACATTATATGTCATCTTAGTCAACATGTTTTGTTAAAAATTTTGATCTATATATTGGATTATTTTCATAAAAAGTTATCTCTGTTGTATTAATAAATTTGCTGCATTACAACAAATGTAATTACCTATAATTGCTATTTTTATTCAGTTTTCTAGTTGTACAACTAGAAAAAATTTTTTTTCCGTGTGAAGTTCAAGGTTTTGTCTAAGCTTGTTGAACGATAACATTTAACGCATCGTTTTCAGAATATCAATTCATTAATCAAAAAAATATGAATAATTACTGAAAGAATGAGTGTAAGATTTGATGATAAGGATCCTTTTAGGTCGATAGTGAACTCTTATTTTAAGACTGTCTTAGATAATGTCTTAAGATGCTAATACGGTCTTCTTATGGGTTTATAACATCTTAAGACTGTACTTAAGACAGCCTCAAATATAAAAATCGATTATGAATATCGGCTTTGGGGTTTCCGATAGCTCAATCTAATTTTCAATCACTCATGTATGTATTTTTGAAAATGCTTGCGATATTTTGCATTAAAGAATCTTCATCTATGTATATATTATGCACATATTTTATTTGTATCAACATCCGTAATTATGGATCAATGTCACATGCGAATTGGGCGGTCTCAAGTTTTCTAATAGCTTTACGATCACTATAATGTTATGAAATGTAATCTAACACGTATCTCGTTTCGCATTGCAGTCATTGCGAAGTCGACTTGGTGCGTAGTTTCGGTCCAAAACATGAGGTTTATAATCTCGGTTTGTGGTAAACAAAATCGATTCTTTACGATTATATTTTCGTACGATTGAAACACGTGGAAACATATGCTTATAAAGATATTTCATGTTGTGTTTAAATGAATTTTGTGTGATTCAATTAGTTTATAGTAATGTAAATATATAGGTAGAAATATAAAAAGTTATATATGTTCGTAAGCGAAGAATCAATAAATAAAACGGTCAATTTTTAACAAGTAAAATATTTTAAGCTTATAAGTTATGCAAAGTTTAATTGATGATGGTAAAATATCGCGATAATTTGTTTTGTTAGTGAGTATTAAATTAATACGATCCTATCATATATGTATATGATAAAACAAGTATGATTTATTCATGATTTAAACAATTATTTTTTTAGAACATCTCGTTTAGATATCAATTTTAGTTGCGTTTTTATTATTTTCAATCGACAGATATATTATTTATTTATAAAATAATTTAGAAAGCAAGAATATTTCATGAAAGAATCATTTGGCATGTAAGCATTTGAACGTTAATAGAAATATCGACAAGCTTTGCAAAATATCCATTAAAAATCTTTGATACATCCGTTCTGCATGTGATTAGAAATATTTCATTCGGCACAATACATATAAAGAAAAAAGAATTTCTGTCGCTTTTTTTTTACAGATAAGTTAAACGATTACACGATAAACATAACGTTTAATGTTAAATCAAAACGTTGTTTGTGCAATTCTCTCGCTGACACTTGCGATAACACGAGTTCGCGAGAATAAATCAAGAAATGACAGATGACAACGTTTCTCCGATTTATCATCGATAAATTGTTTTAACAGCATATTTGTAGATATAAATTTCTTGACAAATACCAGATATAACATCAGTATCTCGAATACAACTGTATTTTATCAATAAACTCGATACACGGTTATTTATTTAGTTTCTATCTTCGTATTTTGTTTTGTCAGCTGTAGCAAAATTTCTATCGAATAAAAATATCAGATTCTCTCTTTCTCGAGGACGAAAATATTATTTGGAAAGACGAGTTTACGGTGACGCGATCGACGCCCTGATCTTAAAATTTACATTGAAAGACCTGGCCTATCTGACTAATCGCATTCCGTTCGTCTTATATGAATGTTCATAATATGCAATTAGCATAAATTGAGATATCGCGATAAACTTGTGGAACGGCACGTTTCGTCGGTACTTATTTGCGAGAATTTTTCTGCGTGTAATTATGTCGATAATAACCACAAGCATCGAAATTGTGTATTCAATTTTCGTACAAGTTTGGATAGATTTCCAAGGAAATCTGCAAAAAATATTTTACTTTATAAATGATGGGAGCAAAAATTAGAGTGTATGAGTTTGATACATAATTATAGAGCAAAGTTCATTAGAGGGGCTTAACATTTTTAACTTTTACAGAATGGAAAAATTATAGTGACGCTGAAATTGTCATATTTTGAAGCATACAATGAAATAATGAATTAACAAATTTAGTTAAAAAGAAAATTGTAAGATCTTAAAAACAGACCTTCGCCTTCTAAAAGTTAATATAAATAGCAACAGTGCGAAAAGATGTTTTCATGACTGTGAGAAAAAAAAAATGATCGTAATTACCATAATTTCACTATTTAATTTATAATCACTTTTAGGGTAATTATATATTTATAGTTATTCTAATTATATAATACAAATATAGTAAATTGTACTATTAACAATAGTCACGCACACTGCTCGAAAATCTTTAGTTTTTTCTCAACATATTTTTTATTAATATAAATAGCAAGTGAATTTAAGAAAATACAATAATTTTATTCAACTGCGATTGCATTTATTCAATTTATTGAATAAAAATTTTTATTTTATTTATCACTTGTATCTTGATATTTTATTATATTTATATTTGAAATACTCATAACTTGTAGTATAATTTTTCATGTTTGAAAGAATTACATACATTATTATTATTAACAATAATAAAAAATGGAGTTTTTAGTCATAATAATTTTATCATGCAATTATATTAAACAATTACCAAACACTTTTTCCAGTGTATTGCATGTTACATCAATATATTGGCCAGAATATTTTATAAATATAATATCTTACCTAGCAGTATTACTCTTAAAAAATTAATCGATTTATTACATTTGTAAAATTGATCGATTAATTATTATATATTTTATAAATATAATATCTTCCCAGGCATTACATTTATAAAATAACCGACGTCAATATGTTGATGCGGTACATTTCTTATAAAATTCGATTGATTTTATTCTTTTTCAACGCTAGCTACTCTACATTTTTAGACGCTTAGGTGAAAAGTATTATTTGTATCTTTTCTTTAAATGTGGATCATCCATTCAGTTTCTTTCTTTTCTTCGATACAGAGAAATCTAACATGAGATCATTTAAGTACGTACATTTGTTCAAATTCATGTGTAAACAAATGTAACGCAGTTATGTTTACCTTGAATAAATAATGATATGGCGAAGAATGCGAAATACATATATTTTCTTTTCAGAGAAGCAACATTTTAATATGAGATTCTTCATCGTATCTAGTACTACTTTTACATTTAAAACGAGGAATAAGCTTTCTTCATGAGAATATGTGAAATTTCACTAGAATACCGAATTTCATATTCCAGTTGTGTGTTGCATGGTTACGTACGGATGAAACGTCGTTTGAATCCTTTTGCACACGTCACGACTCCGTTTTCACTTTATTCGGGCTTTAAAGCTCTTACGCGAGTATTGTTTGCGCGATATGCAACGAAACAGGAAGGTAAGCCAATGTCAAAAGGACACGAACAAGATAGGAGAAACAGGCGGCTGGAACTTGCATAACACATCGCCATAAAGCTAGTTTGTCAAAAAATGACAAAGAGATGTAGAAGCAGAAGATTGCAGATTTTGATATTAAGGTGTATTAAAATGTCAGCTTATCTCAAATTAAAATATTCCGAGACCTCACAAAATGAAACGATATTTATGTAGATCTTTTATAACGTTATATATATTTTTTGTGCTCATTTAAACGTAATGTACGTAATTCGCTCGATTATAAATTTTTAACTTGACAAAAATTCACTTTGAATTTCAAGAGTTGTAGCTAACCTATCTTAATTGTTAGAAACAATAATATAGGTTTATAGATTTATAAGATATTCAATATAATGCTTATTAATTTACAAGATATTTAATTCATAACAAGAACATATTTTTGTGACGCTGAAGGAATATATGAACCTTTAGGGCCAATTAAAGTTTTCATTATTAGTTCCAAAATTTGCAATTATAAAAAATTGCAGCACCTAAACTTGGCCATAAATATAATACAATAGATTGTTCACACGATAGGAATAAAATTGTAAAAAATAAAATAAATGTAAAAATCATTATTTAAAAATTAGGGAAATGTCCTAGAATCAGCCATCCATAGGTTCCAATTATAGGTTAATATAATATATATATACTTGCATTCATTTCATTAATGCACCGTCAGTATCCAGTAACGTCGAGTATGACTTCCATCGTGAACGAGAAACGTAACTTCGCAATTGCCTCATATTTACTAAATATTAGATCGCGTACGGGATTTCGGGTATGGCACGAATATGAAACGTACGGGTTTGAGGCATTACCCTCGTAGCTGCGTAGGTACAAATTCCTCGTTGAATTCATCCAGAGCGCTTCGTAACGTGAAAACGTATGCGCGCATACACACATACACACACACACACACACACACATCACGCGAAGTGCGTAGTACCAAATTATATTCGCGGGGCTGCGTTCGGCTAGCCGACCGGCCGGCCGGGTTCGAAAAGTAAAACGGCGCGAGGCGTGTGTACGTTGTGTACGTGTGGTACGCAGCGAGAGGTGAGAGCAAGCGAGACGCGGCGAGGAAACGAGCGAGACGATAGGAACGAGGTACCCGGCGCGGCGGTCGGCGTTCGCGCGCGACGGACAGAGAGACGCCGCACCGGCAGGAGAGGGAGAGAGAGAGAGAGAGAGAGAGAGAGAGAGGGAGAGAGAGAGAGAGAGAGAAGGGAAACGGGCGTAGCAGCGATGAGGGGTGAGGGATGCGGGGACTAGATCGCGAGCGCGAGGGAGACGGGACTACATCGCGGCCGCGGTGCGCCCGCGGAGGTACGCGACAACGGCGCGCATCGATTGGCGCTCTAGCCGTGACCCCCACCATGCTGCTTTCGCTTTCACCCAATGGGGCCTCACTTTCGCGCTCGCCCGCGTTCGGCGCCGCGGCAGCCGGCACGCTGTCGTCGCCGGCTTCTCTCAGTGACTGGTGCACCCTACGTGCGAGCGAGCGTTTTTCGTGCGTCCGTGTGCTCGTCCGTCTCGTCTCGGGAGCGGCTAGCGGCAGAAAGAGAAAGAAGACGAACGGAAAAGGGCGGCGGTGAGGAGGAAGAAGAAGAAGAAGGAGGAGGAGGAGGAGGAAGAGTGTGGCAGCCTCGGTGTCGACAAGCGCTACGTGTGCGCCCTTTCATCCCAGATTATACCTCACGCTCGCGTATACCGTTAAAGTGTGCCGATTTAAATCGTCGCGGCGGTCCGTCGTGAAACGCGACGCGCGGGCGCGCGCGCGCGCTCACCGTTGGAAATTGCGTTGCACGCCGGGGCGGCGCGTACAGCGTACTCCGGCGCCGGTTGACCCTGACATTCGAGAAGCCGGGCCGGGCGGGCGAGAGACACTCGTCGTCTCGCGCGCGCAGGAGCGACATCGCTGTGATCGCGCTCGTACGAGCATCCCGAGTGTCGGGACTCTGTGGACGAATCAACGAAGCGAAGGACGGTAGCAGCGTACCTTACGATTTCAGACTTTTTCTTTTCCTTCCGTGGCGCGTTGTGTCGCGGTCTAGTCTCACCCTGACCTTGACTCCGATGCACCAGCGCGTCGATAGAAACACCAAGGAACGTCGTCACGTCGTGTCTCGAGCGGTGTTTCCTCGCGGTGTGCCGATCGCGCGACTCGCGCGGGCGGTCTTGTTGTGACACGCGAATGACCTTGATTCTTCGGCGAGGCGGCGCCTTGGATATCGCCTTGGATATCGAGCGAACCGGTCCACGCCTTCTCGTCGCGTTTCTCTACCGTACGAAGTGGTGCGTCACCTGGAGATGAACAAGTAGAAAAAAAGCAAGCCTGATCTTCGTGGTTACAACGAAGCGTGCGTTCCAATCTATCGCGAGACGTCATCTGTCATCGAAAAAACGACGTTCGAGAAGCAACGGAAGACAACACCTGATCTTAAAGTGCAGAGCACCTATATGGCACCGCGGCGTCACGCCAACGGCGGCCACGGCGGTGGCGGTGGCGGCGGCCTCCTGGAGAACGGGGGCGGTGGCGTTGGCACTAACGATCCCATGGATAATCTGCTGGGCCCGAGTCAGACGACGCGCTGCTGCACGCCGACCGGCGAGTGTCTGCGCGGCGACACCCTCATCCGCCTCAATGCCCTGCACGATGCGGTCAAGGTCACCTGCAATAACGACAATTGCCCGATCGGCCAGTTCATGCACCGTGAGTGCTTCGACGCCTGGGAGCAGACGGTACTCACGTATTTGAAGAGCTGCGGCCGCGCTCGCAGCTGGTCCGAGCGTCAACGTCATCAGAATCTCTGGACGAAGAAGGGCTACGATCTCGCGTTCAAGGCGTGCGGCTGCCGCTGCGGCCGCGGCCACCTTAAAAAGGACCTCGACTGGATGCCGCCCGGTCTCGGCAACGTTCCCGGGAATCGTCCCGATGAAAACGAGGCGAAGAAGAAGAAGCGGCGCAACCGTCAGAACACCAGGCCGAGCCTGGCCGTGTCGGCTGGCCCGCCGAATCACGGCAACCACGTCGTCGCCGCGAACGGCCGTGGCACCAGCGAGGCGCAGATGATCGAGGCTGGCCGCGGCAGAGCCGGCTCCTTGTCGTCCAGCACCGGTTCCAGCTCCCCACCGGCCACCAGTGAGCCCAGCGTCAGCCCTCTTCATCAGCCGCAGGCTATCATGAAGAAGAAGAGCAAGGTCGACTTTTTCAGCGATCGCGCGAGGTGAGTACTCTTCTCTTATTGGTCTCTAGAACAAAAAACATCACCGCATTTCACCTTTCTCTGCGGACGATTTCTTTGTGGAACCGAAGGAAGATCGACAAGTGCGCGCGTGGTCATATATACATACATATACATTTATATGTGTGTGTATATATATATATATATGTATAGGTACATTGTATATATGTGTATGTATGTATAAAAGAGGAAAGGAATCTTCCCTTTTATTCAACATTCTTCTGTCTATATATTTATATTTTTTTTTTCTAAAAAATGTATTACATTTCTTTTTAATATTAACAGTGCACATTAATGGTATTATGTAATTATTCACATTCTTAATGCAGCTGAAAATTGCCTGATAATTTGTTTTATAACAAGCAAAGCTAAATTATTTTTATAGAAGGAACTTTATACTGAAATATACGAATTTTTGTAAATATATACAGAAAGGAAGACTGTTCTTCAATCAACCATAATATACGTAAGCAAAAATATTGTAATTTTGCTTTCAAGATTTTAGTCTTGATTTGATTGACTTTGTATTATGTAAGATTTTTGATTGAGCAAGTCTTGAATTGAGTGCAAAGTAATACTTGCATCAAAACAAATTCAATCAAGACTAATATCTTTGAAGCAGTTACAATATTTTTATATATGAGTATATTATGGTTGATTTAAGAAGTATTTTTTTTGTACAGGAAATGTAATTTGATACTTCAACTTGACTCGTCCATTATGAAAGATTGTTAATACATTAAGAAAAACATATCAAACTTTAATAAGTATTTGTTTCAATAGTACTAATTGAAAATTTACTAAATGTAAACATATATTTCTTTATTTAAGAATTATTAACTTTTTTTTTGTTTACCATAAGTAAATGATAAGTTAGTATTATTCAAATATTTAGTAAAGGATATTTTGAGATGTTTCGGATAAAACTTTTGCACATTGTGAGATAGAAAGATATCTTTAGTTTGACGCAACTCTCAAATGAGATTTCGCTAAAGAAAGAGAAAAGCCAAATCTTCGGATAAGAATGATAGATGAGAAGGAACGCGTCGGGAGTCATTTTCCCGTCGAAACCTTTGTCTTAGTGCGGGTGTGTCTTCCGGGAAAGACGACACCTTAAAGCAGACGCGTGAGAATGAAAGACGCTGGCGAAGTCTTTCAATGTAATTCACAAAAACTGGAAAATCGCTTATAGATAGAGTGGAATTTAAAGAATGTATATAAAAAGTAGAGATTGCTTACAATATTAATGATGCAATTTATGATGTAAAGACTGGGTGTGGTTAAGAAAGACTCGAGCATTAATAAGTAGTTCCGCTTTTGAATATTGAACATTCTTTTTTACAAAAGCAAGTTTGTTACGACAACTCGTATGTAAATCATGAAATTCAACAACACAATATTTTCTATTTTTAAATGTGTCAAACGCTGGCCACACGAGAATAAATCTCGCCTTACGCAAACACATAGCAGCAAAATTGGATTCGGTTTCGACTTGCTACTTGGTTCCTCGTTACGTAACCGCGTTCCACCGGACCGTAGTTAATCCAGTCGTTTCTTTTACGAGTTTGTCGCTCGCCACGATTTTATGATCTCCAAATATTTAGATAAAAACGTACCGCGCGCGATTTCTATCGCGGCAGATGGTGTCCAAATGATGGCGAAGATTCTCGGAAGATATGCTGTTGGTTCTTGAAAATAGGGATAAGGCGGAAGCTTTTAACGAGACAAAAAAAGGGAGGGTTGAAAGAGCTCTAGAGCTTCAGTTGTATCAGAGGAGCGCAAAAGTCTACCATGTTTGCTCTGATAATTACATTATACAATATTAAAGAATCACTAACCGCTTATTGAACGATTATAGTCCATAATGTAAGAAGTTAAGAAGTTGCGCATTGATGATAGAGTCAAATTTGAAACAGTCGCACTGAGAAAAAGATATAGTTAATTTTAATAAATATTTAGTTCAATACTGCCAACTAAATATTTACTTACAGTAGCCAAATAAATATTTGTTCAATAAAAAAAAAAAGATTGTTAAATCAAATCAACATTTCTTGTATTAAATAAATATATCTTTATATTTAATAGATATTTAGTCGGCAGTATTCATCTAAATATTTATTAAAATTGACTATATTTTTTTTCAGTGCAATCATCGAAATTTAACCTTGTAGTAACATGATGTAACTTAGGGTACGGTCAATGCGATGCTTTAAAGCGTTTTTTGATTGGTCAATTTGTTCAAAATTCTTCCAATTAGGCAATCAAACGCTTCAAAGCATTTGTAGTGAGACTTGTAGTGAGACCGTAGCCTTAATGTGTCACAGATCATAAGAGCCGTATCATTTTTTATATTTGTGACAACTCTCCAAATTGTTCAACATTTTATATTCTTAGATCATGTAAGGCCATCAGATAAAAAATGATCGAACTAGTCGAAATAGTCAATAGGAAAGTTGTCGGCATTCGGCTCAGATAAAAAGTTTGCTACATTATTATGCTACATCTAGATTGTCTAGAGCTCCTAAAAAGGACTTCCTATTGAAGTTGTATAACAATTGTATTGCGCATTACGAGTATTCGAATAAACGTCAAGATCTCGAAGTAGCAATGTCATTTGACCGTCACGGAAAGACGAATAGATTTCGATTCGTCGCTTCATGAAATTCGACACTAAGAATTCTCGAGGAAGGAGAAGAGGCAGAAAGTTTGTGCAAATTCGATAGCGGTCCCAACCGTCGATTAATTCGCTCTACTGACTTTTAATATTAATCGTTGCTCGCCGGTTTTGCGAAAGAGTTTGCGGAACCGGTTCGCGCACTGAAGTTCTGAAATATGCACGCAGCTCCATACCACTTTTCAAGAGCGTTTCAAAGAAACAGGATCTTATTACGGGTAGGAAGTTTTAAAAAAAATCAAAGTTTAAAGAATGTTTTAAAACTAATCGGAACTTTGCTTTTTCGAAAAAAAGCTTGCATCTGTATTACATTAATATGAATCTTGCGCGGTTTTTTTTGCACTAAAATTTTAAATTGAACATTTAAACTGTGAAATTGTTAAAACGTTGCATTGGCAAATTTTGGGAACTCTCGGTAAATTTTATTTGGTCGATTGCCTTTGTTAAAATTTTTCGACGTTTCATATTGTGCGTACTGCGATCATCGGCAGTTCCTTTGTTCAACTCACCGTCGTAATTTTCATATTAAAAGAGAATATTAGTTTGCGTGGAATAAAATTCGATACCTTTTTAACTCACAATGTAGAAGTTTTGTTAAAACGTTTGAAATATTCTTTGTTCAAAATATTACCAACATTGTTTCATAAACAATTGTAAAATTAGATTATCAGAATTGAAGTATCACACTGCTACATTTCTTGAATTTGCAAGAATTTGTATGTGACAAGGTCTTTCTACAAGCATAGTTAATTTTTGTATTGTGTCGTAAAAAAAATTATCAGGCAATTTCGAGTTGGCGCGTTAAAAATGTAAATAATTACTTAACCTTGACGACATTGCATAAAGATAGCATCGACACATTACGTTCGAAAAAAAAAAGTACTACATTACAATTTTTCTTCTTTCCCTCGTGTACGAATTCTGGGTCAATCTACGAGCTAATGTTCACGAGATTTTAAACATAGATTGTATTTTGACTGGCTCCAACGTCACGAGACGCAACACAATCCAAAATTGTAATACATTTGTTTTCCTTGACGCGACGATTTATATTCGGCGGTATATTTTGCATGAGGGAAATAAAAGAACCGTGTTGCGTCGTCGGAGGAAACGAAGGCGAGTCGTTGTTCACGTCCGTGTGCTGTAAAATAACTCCTCTCGGGACGTGCGTTCGAGAGGGCATGAATGAACGCCGCTGGTCTGTTTTCTCGTCGCGCGTAGGTCGCTCTCTATAGAGCGGCATCGGGACGTAGTGTGTTGTGCGATGTGCGTACGTACTACGTACATGTGTAGTGCAGCGCGTACGCGTGTTAGGTTGCTCTAGACCTCCGGTAAGAGAGCGAGAAGACGAAGGGCAGCGAGAGAGAGAGAGAGAGAGAGAGCGCCCACGACGATTACGACGCGCTCCAACTCATAGTACGCGCTTGTTCCTCGCGTATATATGCGTGCCGTATGCGTGTGTGCGTCCTATATATAGATGCAACCTTGGAAACCTGTCCTATTTCTGTTTATGTTCCTCCAGTTCGACGGGTCGGGAATTCTCTTTCTTGGGCCTGCTCTTCGTCGCGTTATAAAACGCCGGAATTTTTCTAAATTTCTTCTAACCTACGCTGTCTATCTGCTCGATTGAGAGTTTACTCGATTTATAATATCTCGCCGTTTGCAGATAACCTGGGAATCGCGTATTGGTAATTCTTTTGTCGTACTCTCTTTCGTTTTCTATTTATATCTTTTTCAATTTATTGATACTATTATATTTTTACCTTTACTGTGAATGTTCGTTAATGTTTTTTTTTTTTTTCGTAAAAATACAATTATTTCCAGTAATTATTACGTTCCTTTGTTTTTAATTGATTAATATAAAAGCATTATCAGAACGTTTTCTTATTAATTATTACTTATAGTAATTACATTCATATGTATATGTATTTTAGTTGTGATACATATATGTGCGAAAATATATTTTGATCAAAATGATTAGGACGCGCCTACTTTCTAACATTAGTTTCGAGACGCGCCTATTCCTGGGATAAACAAGCGTGACGAATAATGCATGATGAAGTTGGAAAACGCTTTTTCTTCTAGTCAATAGTATTTCTTTAAAAAGTGTTTTAATCAATAATTTTTAATTTTATAATTATTAGTTATTTCAGAAATTTCGTTTTTGAAAAATTTATTCGTTAAAAAAATTGTTGGTACAAAAGTCGAGGAAGGAATTAAATTTTATTTGTAATATGTTTAAATATTGAATTTATGATATTTATAAACATATCAGTAAGTATAAATGTTAGTTAACACTACTTCTGAC